ACTGATGACGTATCACGAGTACACAAGAACGCAAGTACGCACAAGTACGCATATTGAGAAAGGCCCCGCCTCTACAGTCCCACCGTCCCACTGTGACATCACCATGTGAATACTCTGTTCACCCCTCCCCCCTTACACATGCTGTGTGGCCCAAACAGGGTTTAGTTACATGAAAGTAGCAAAGTGTGCTTTAACATATAACAGCCAGCCTTACCCAGCACTCACATCTCCAAAACACTGATGTCCAGAAACCGGTGGGTGGGTGATTGAGCGGATCATGCTTTGGATATAAAGCCTATAAAACAGAGAAGAAACTGTCTTTCCTATTAGTGATTTTTATTTAGTGATTTTGTTGACATCAATAATCATCATGGATTCATTTTTAAATCAGTCATTGGTTTATTTCTGTTATTACTGTTGTTGTGTAAAGTGCCAGAGATTCCTGTTTGATCCCAGGAGGAGACAATGATCTCAAGTGGTGTAAATCGAATACACACCCCTGCCGTGGGGATCTCTAGTGAATAACAGAGCGGCCGAAAGCAGCTTTTTGTCTCACGGCTGAAGAAGTGTCATGAAAAGTCATTTGTATCTGATCTGCAAACATCCTTTGTTGTGTTTTTTGTGTTAAAGTTTCCATAAACTGCTGCGGTCAGTAAAACACTCAGCCGAGGGCACCACGAAGCACAGAGATGCTCTGAGGAGACGCCCGACCCTCCAACACCGCCGCCACACACACACTGACACACACACGTACAGACACACACACACACACGTACAGACACACATACACACACACACAGTGACAGGGTGGCAGGGTTACCAGTCACTGTGAGCAATCAGAGCAGTGTGCAGAGACAGAGATGCCACATACCTGCCACCATCCATCAACATCACAGCCTCACACTTGTCCATTTAAATTCATGTCAACAGCAGAAGAGAAGAGAAGAGAAGAGAAGAGAAGAGAAGAGAAGAGAAGAGAAGAGAAGAGAAGAGAAGAGAAGAGTCAAACTGAAACCATGAAGCACTTTAATAAAAATGTGGTAATTTAAACAGGAACTCTTGTAGCAAAATCTGATATTGTAGTGGAAAAATAATAAACCCAGTTTTGTTAAAAGCACCAGGATTACAAGCAGGCCTCATTCTGTGCTGGAAATCACTGCAGGTGCTCAGAAATGCTTTTGAAAACCATCGCAGCTCATTACTGCATCCACACAGGAAGTTCAAACCCCACCATGCAAAGAACAAACAGACCCCCAGAAACGCTGCCCCCTTTCTCTGAGGTCATGTCAGATGAGGCTGAGTGGAGACCGTCCCACACTCTTCAGGCTAAATAGAGAAGAAACTATCCTGCCTGGTGTAAGCACACAGGTCAAAACGCTCTGTTAGTACAGTAACCTCACAGCAGCCATAGTGCTGGTCACATGACGTCATTTAAAAGATGCTCCAAAACGCTCCAGAGGTCCAGTTCAGGTGAAGCTAGTAGACAGCTAGCAGCAACAGCTGCCTGTGTCAGCATCCACCTGTCAGTCACAGAAGGCACGCCCCTAATGATGCAACCTCTAAGCATTAATGCAATTTAAACAGGTGAGTTATAAAAACATCCTCCCTCCATAGCACTGTTATGAAGGAGGAAACATTAGTTTGACAAAGAAGAATATAATTCATAAGTAAATAACAAGGAGAGGATTTCCCGTCTGTCTGCGGCACTGGGAGGTGTCAGCTTAGTCCCACGGGGAGCTGCATGTAAATAAGCCTGAGTCTTTGGGCTGACATTTTAACAGGCCGGCTTCCTCGTCCCTGAGGTCAGTCGAGTCTTCACTTTGACAAAGAGACATGCAAATAACTGCAGGCAGAGACACAAAATATCATCTCTGTCAGCGCTGCATTTATCTCTCTGTGAAAATACAGAGCACACGTTAAACGGCAGGGAGTCAGTGCCCATAGACTACATTTTAAATCTTTACAGCAGAAATAAACATGTTTACAGCCTGATAAACAAACTGTTTGGTCTCTGTGGATAATTTGAACCTTCATAACACCTGTAGGAGGATATAACTTTTTTTATGACTTACTTGTTAAAAGTGCATTGAAGTATAAGTACTTTAACTGTGGTAAAATATCTGGATATTTGATATGGTTCAGAGTCAGATAAAAATACTAAAGACACTTTTGAGTTTCACACAGAGAAACAAAAGTGTTGTGGATCAGTGAGCCCCAGACCTGCTGTATGTATTAGTGGATGATCCGATATCGTCGTGTTGGTGTTGTTCCCAGATCATCATGAAAATGTTGTTCCAGGTTCAACATTGCAAGTGACCAATCACATTGTTCTGACGTAATCCTTTTCGCGCCAAGCCATTTGTGCATTTATGAAATTCCAATGTTGCAAGGACAATATCAGTTCGTTTATTAAAGGGTTACGGTTAGGGTTAGGGTCCGTTGATCGGCGGACAGAAGCGGTTTCTCGCAGCTTAAGTACAGTTTTTTGTTTTAAGGCGGTTTTTCCCGGAGTCGCAAAAGTATGACGTCACAACATTCTGATTGGTCACTTGTTGATCCTGGAACAACATCAAGTATGATGATCTGGGAACAACATCAACACGACGATATCAGATCGTGCAGTTTCTCCAGCCTCTGCCCTCCCACCCCCCACCCCCCGCCTGGACTTCCTCCTCCTCTAGCCCTCAGTTTGATTATTCTGTTAAATCAAAGCATGTGAAGTAACAGAAGATAACAGCGAGTTCCTTTCATCAGAACAAAGCTGGTTTGTGCCTGGAGGATGGGAAACTGAAGATATGCAGCGGTCATGCAAAGGCACGTGTGAGTCTGCATAAAGAAAAAACCCTACCCTCTAACCCTCTGCTCAGGCTGTCCTCCTGGACATCTGCAGACCTGCAGGGCCACAAACACGCCTACAAACACACAAGCTGATTTTAAATTCCCAAACTTCTAAAGACATGATTATTTCTCACTGATTTGGTGGTAAACATATAAAACAAGGAGATGGAGCAGAGCAGCAGGAAACTTCAGGTGAAAAAAAAAAGACAAAGATGTTTTTATAAAAGCCTTAAAGCCACTCACTGGAACTAACGCAGGAACAATGGTTGCCATCATGTTGATGTTAATGACTGTTTGTCCTGTGAGAGCTGAGAGAGCGCACAGGTGTGGGAGGAAAACACAAACCACTCTTTGTCTGGCTGCAGGAGGATGGAGAAAGATGGAGACCGAGGACAAGAAGGATGATTGACTTAGATTTAAATATACTAAAGGGGCAGGGCCAAGAGATGGCCACTACAGACTGTATATGAAAGATATGTATATGTAGGTAGCTTCCAGGTGCCTGAAATGTTTTCTAATGACCATCAGGGGGCGCCTCCTCTGAAGTCTGACGTTGTTGAGGTCTGTTAACCATCATATCCAGCTTCCTAACCCCAACACACAGCAGTTAAAGTGCTAACTGATTGGTGATGTCACAGTGCCGTCTTTTATATACAGTCTGTGTATATTACTTTCTCTCTATGCTGAACGTGGGAAATACAGTCACTGTTCTCTCTCGCCTGCATATTTCCCCATTCGGACAAATGTCAGCATGTGTGCTGTAATGTGCTGTGATTGGTCAGTTAGGACGCCTGTTTCTTCACCACAGGAAGTGCAGTGTGGTCAGAAGCAGCAGCAGCTTGTGGTGGTTTAAGGTGATGCTCTCAGAGGGATGCAGGCAGTGATACTGGAGGATCACGTACAGGCCAACAGCACCTCCCTGTGGACCCCTGAAGAACTGCAGGGACTGAGTGGAGCACCAGCAGTTGATTCGTGTCTGTCACTGTTTTTAACGTGGGTGTTTGCTGCCGTGACGTCATCGACCTCTCCTGTAGCTGGTCGGCGTCCACGGGGACTCGGTGTGGATTTTTTTAGGCTTTAACTGGAATCTTCTGCTCTGACTCTTTTACAATTTTGCAGCACTTTTGTTCCTGCACTTCAAGCTGTGTGTTTGTCGTGCGCGTCCTCACAGAGCTCTGCATGAAGCTCCAGCTGTTCCCCCACACAGTCCTCTACGGCAGCTTCAAGCAGTGCAAAGCATAAAGTTCCTGTTCAGGCTGTGCTGAGACTGAGGTTTAAGTTCAACAAACCATCTGGGCGCTTTGATAAAATCCTAAATTATAATGAAATAAGCAACACAGCAGGTGATTCTCATTCATTAAGAGAGCTAAATTAACTTTTATGGATTCATAACTTTCCCAGACACTTCCAATAACAGGTTCAAGCATCTGTTGGACTCCTTTAATTAAAGGAGTTCACCTGTCGCTCCCTAGGTAACTTATTGTGACTTATTGTGAGCTCACTGATGGATATTTATTAGTGAATAAGTGATGTAATGAGTCTCAGGAGCTTCAGTTCATCAGTAAGATGTAAAAACAGTTTGATGGATGTTGATGGAGCTCTGTTTTGGTGGAGGTCTGGGCTCTGAGCTGCTGCTATGCCCTTTGTGTTTTCATGCACTTTACAGATTTCTGTGAATCTGCAGCATTAATAATGTGCAGCTGTGTGGACCCATGAGTGACGCATCCACAGGAAAGGTGACTCAGGTGTCTCAGCAGACTGAACTATAATTCACTTAGTGTACTGGGTTATAAAGCACACCTGTAGCCCATCCTGCTCTCACTCTGGCTGCAGCTGACGCAGGTATGTGGGAAACAGACTCACCTGGGGAGCAGCTGGTAGCAGCACTGGGCTGTCCTCGTGTAAACTTCCTCCCAGCTACCTGTGCTCACCCGGTGGTTGAGCTGAGCTGCGTTTGTGTGGATACAGACACATATGTAGTGAGAGGAGTTTTCTGGAAGAAGATTCATGAGTTTAAGGATGTTTTTAAGAGGGTGTAGGTGTTTCCATGTCACACCATCCCGTGCTCCAGCCGTCCATCCACCACGACCTCCTTGCTGCTCAGACTCCTTCATGTTAACCCACAGCTGTGTTCATACATGGCATTAAACACATCTCAGGAATGATGACACAGCAGCTTTTATTTCAGACTGCACTTCAGGCACCAACAGGAAACATTCAGCGGCGATGCATGCAGTTTGTACATCCACCAATGAGCACGCAGTGCCTACAAAGAACACACACATTCATCGTCACATCAAGCTTTTGGCATGAGAAAAAAAAAAAAAAAGAAGAGTACACTGAATCTAAAGGAACCACAAGAACCGCACAGAACGCACAGAACCTCACACCTGATTTAAAGACACAATAAAAATGGAATTTACACTTTTCTTTGGATGTGTTTGAATTATTATTTTGACCTTGATCAGAAGACATCAGCATTTCTAATGCGGCATGAAATGAGCACGACAGAACATCTGGATTCAACATCTGTCTCTGCTGAAGTTCTGCAGGTCCTCATAAAATAACCTCTGACGTTAAACTGACCACAGAGTGCAAATCATCATCATCATCATCATCATCATCATCATCATGAACACGCTGATGTGCAGGCTCCTCCTCCTCGTCTCCTTCCTCTCTGAGTGGAAGCAGGACATGAAGGTCATGAGTGTGAGGACGTCACAGCATCACATCACTACACTGTACGAACACAGCGAGGGCAGGAAGCAGTGTGTGTGTGTCTGTGTGTGTGTCTAGTTAGTGTTTGGCCTCTCGGGGGTAGAACTCGGCCAGTGTGCTCTGGGGGATCCTCTTAAGCATCTCTTTGGGGAAGATCCTCATGAGCTGCCAGCTAATGTCCAGAGTCTCAAACACGCTGCGATTCTCATAGGCACCTAAACACAAACACAGGGACAGGTGAACACCAGTGTCTGACATCACAGCAGTTTGATGTGGGTATCGGGTGGACAAAGAGTCGCATGACCCATGAAATGCTCCTCCTAATGTGAGGGCACTCAGAGCCTGAAGCAGATAACCCGGGTTAACAGAGAAAGCTGATAACCATCATCATCGTACCTGTCATCTCTGACTGGGAGTTAGGATTTATTAAAGTTTATTTAAGTATCAAAAGTCTGTTAAAGCTGCCAAATCTGCCTTTTTGTCTAGCATTATTATGACTAATAGCCACAACCCCCGAGCACTTTTTAATACTTTTAATTCTGTGATAAACCCTCGCACTACCACTTATAGGGATGCTTCCCCTGCTCTTTGTGATAAATTCTTAAAGTATTTCTCTGATAAAATCTCAGCTCTAAGGGCTTCTCATCCATCTCATCCATCATCAGTTTTAGACCCAGTTCCAGCTTCTGAATGCTTGACTGTCTTTCAACAGTTTGAGCCAGTGTCTTATTCTGCTTTAAAAGATATAATTGATCATCTCAAAATCTCTGGTTCCCCGCATGATATTCTTCCTTCTCGTTTCTTTAAGGAAGCTTTACATGTTATTGGTCCTTGTATCTTATCTCTGCTGAATGCATCATTGTCATCAGGTTGTGTACCGTCTGTCTTTAAGCATGCTGTTGTGCAACCTATTATGAAAAAGCAAAATCTTGACCCTAATGGTCTCACTAACTACAGCAACACTCCTCGGCTTCTGCCCCTATTTATTGTGGTGTGCCTCAAGGGTCCGTGCTTGGTCCTGCTCTTTTCTCTTTGTACATGTTGCCCTTGGGATTAATTTTTAGTAAATACAACATCTCCTTTCACTGTTATGCCGATGATATCCAGATTTATTCATCTTTGAAATCCGATGTGTCTGCTTCTTTGCAACCTCTGTTCAACTGTTTGCATGAAGTTAAAATTTGTTTATCACATAATTTTCTTACATTGAACGAAGACCAAAATCATAGTCTTTGGTAGTAACACTCCACTAGACCAGTTAGCTGATGCCCTAGGCCCTCTCGCTAGCCATCTTTCGTCCACTGTAAGAAACCTCGGAGTGTTCCTGGATGGCTCTTTTAAACTCGAGAAACAGGTCTCCACTGTGGTAAAAAACAGCTTTTACCAGTTGCATCAGATTTCCAAAGCAAAGCCGTTCTTTCCTTTAAAGGACCTTGAAAAGCTTATCCACGCATTTATCACATCCAGATTGGACTACTGTAACTCCCTCTACTCAGGCCTCCAGCACTCTTCTCTTTACCGGCTTCAGTTAATTCAAAATGCAGCTGCGCATCTTTTAACAGGTACGAGAATTCATGAACACATAACTCCAATTTTAGCCAAATTACATTGGCTCCCTGTTAAATATCTCATAGATTTTAAAATTCTTTTGTGCACTTTTAATATTTTGAATAATTTAGCGCCCAGTTATCTTTCTGATTTACTCCATTCATACAATCCCAACAGAGCACTTAGATCATCCAACCACAGGCTCCTAGCACAACCTAGGTCTCGAATGAAGTTGAGAGGCGACCGGGCCTTGGCAACCGTGGCACCCAGATTCTGGAATAACCTCCCTGTTTATATTCGTACTGCCGAGTCTATCCAGTCTTTTAAATCACATCTTAAAACGTATCTTTTTACTTTGGCTTTTGATTCTGTCTAGTTGGCTGTTTTAGCTTGTTGTGTTGTTACCTATTGTTTGTTGTCCTGTTTTATTGTTTGTTTTAACTGTCTCATGTTTTTATTGACTGTGAAGCACTATGGTCAACACTGTTGTTTTAATATGTGCTATATAAATACATTTTGATTTGATTTGATTTGATTTTGATTAAAGCAATTAATAAATCCTAACCAGCTTTCCAAAGAAAGCTGGATCTGTTCAACGTAGTTACATAAAGGTGAACAAACAAGCAAACAAAGAGTCCAATGGCACCTTGAGAGATGAAGTTTTTCTCAAACTTGGTGAGGAACTCCAGGTACAGCAGATCATCGGCCGTCAGAGCCTCCTCTCCCACCACTGCCTTCATGGCCTGGACATCCTTCCCTATAGCATAACAGGCATACTGCACACACACAGACACACACACACTTAGATTAAGCAGGAAGACAGGAGCGTGCAGCCTGGAGCAGGTGTATACGTACGAGCTGGTTGGAGACGTCAGAGTGGTCTCTGCGGGTCATTCCCTCCCCGATGGCGGACTTCATGAGACGGGAGAGAGACGGAAGCACATTGATGGGAGGATAGATCTGAGTGGAGGAAGACGGGGAGGACAGGTCAGGGTCACCTGATGGCTCTGACGTATGCCAGGTTGACTGACAGAGCCTGGCATTCCTCTACCTGAGGCCGGCTACAGAGCTCAGAGCTCCACAGGTGACGTCTGAAGGCGGAGCTTTGTTACCTGTCTGTTGTGAAGCTGTCTGTCCACGTAGATCTGTCCCTCAGTGATGTACCCGGTCAGGTCAGGGATGGGATGGGTGATGTCTGCGAGAGATGAGAACTTGCTGTGAAATCCACAAAATTCCAATCCTTTGTATGTGAGATGAGCATGTGTGTGTCTGAGTATGTGTGTGTACCGTCGTTGGGCATGGTGAGGATGGGGATCTGGGTGATGGAGCCGCTGCGTCCCTCAACCCTGCCGGCTCTCTCATAGATGGTTGCCAGGTCGGTGTACATGTATCCGGGGAAACCTCGGCGTCCTGGCACTTCCTCTCTGGCTGCGGACACCTGGCGGCGGGGAGCAATCACATGATCATTTCCAGTTTCCTGCAGCGATTTGGGGTTACAGTAAGTGAGAGTGAAAGAGCAGCTGACCTCTCTGAGCGCCTCTGCGTACGAGCTCATATCGGTGAGGATGACAAGCACGTGCTTCTCACACTGATAGGCCAAGTACTCGGCCGCCGTCAGTGCTAAGCGGGGGGTGATGATCCGCTCGATTCTGCAACACAATGGCCCGATAATCTGTGAATGTGGGCCGACCCCCGGTGCAGGTTAGCCTCAGCCATCACTAACTCTTAGAAGAACACAGCTCGACCTGCAGAGCACACCTGTGTTCCTGCAACATTACAAAACTGCTGTTTGAGCGCCTGAAGGTGAACCCCCAAACACTTGACCCGCTCCCACGGCCCATACAGCAAATCTGACATCATCTATGAAACACCTGGAAATCTGCCTTCAGCTCTGTCTGTTTGTCTGTGTGTGTATGCAAATGTGTGTGTGTGTGTGTGTGTGTGTGTGTGTGTGTGTGTGTGTGTGTGTGTGCTTTGTTCTTAATGTTTTGTCCTACGTCAGGTCCTTGGCCAGGTTGAGGAACAAGCAGACATTGTCCATGGAGCCGTTCTCCTCGAAGTCCGACTTGAAGAACCTGGCTGTCTCCATGTTCACCTGAGGGCGGAGAGTAGATCACTGAGCTCTGTGAGTGGGAGTTTGCAGGTGCTGAGTGTGTGGGGCAGCTTTAAGACATCAATAAACTTGCTCTCATATTCAGAGGCGTCTGATGAGGAAGCATCTGAAGAACTCACCCCCATGGCGGCAAAAACAATGGCAAAGTTGTCCTCGCTGTAGTCCATCACGTCCTTTGACTTCTTCACCAAACCGGCCTGCCGGCAGATCTGAGCTGCAATCTGAGACAGAAGAAGAAGAAGAGGGATCTGATTTCCTTTTCAGTCATTACATCACAATAATGAAGAGGAGGTGATGTGTTTACCGACCCTGCCCCCTCTCGGAGTAGGGTGCGAGTACCTCGTTGTGCGGCAGCCCGGCAGCAGAGAAAATGGGGATTTTCTGCCCTCTGGCGATGCTGTTCATGCCATCGATGGCAGAGATGCCAGTCTGGATCATCTCCTCAGGGTAAATGCGGCACTGAGGGTTTATGGGCTGTCCTGAGGAGAACGTGGTTACAAACACATGTATGAAGGAACAGAACACGTGATCCACTGCAGCAGCTAATAACAACTCCAAGAAGTCAGAGACAAGTACACGGAGATTCACAGGTGCAGTTTATGAGGACTCGAGGAAGTCAACATGAAAGCTGAAAACTGAATGTATTTTTCTATTTCAAAACTACAATTTTTAGCGAAATAAAGTTCCTAAAAATAAACTCATCATGACCCACAGCACAAGAGACTCTGCCCACAACTCTACGTCCTAAAACACATCCTTTAAATTTATTCTAATCACATTTTACTTAAAAACTCATAGAAAGCTGTTTTTATCGTTTCCCTCCTTCTGAAATCTGACTTTTCTCCGATTAAACCTCCAAACTTTTGATTCTGTGGGTCGTTCTTTGACCTGAACCGCATGTGAGTCCACGCGATCAAGCCCAGCTCGAACCCTGAGTGACGTCAGTGTGTAACCACATGTTCCACACTGAGGTGAGGTATTAATGAGAAGCTGGGCGTTACTGTGACTGCGAGTCAAAAATACAGACAGAGCCTGATTTTGACCACGTGTGTCTCTATAAAACATTAAAACTGAGATCAGGTTAAATCTGCTGTGTTTTCTCTCATTTCTGACATTTTTCCTCCGAACAAGTCGAAGAAACTTTACTGCCTGTTTCAGATGTTTGCATCAGACTGCTGCACCAATCAGATCATGGCAAGTCTCCTCGAAGCAGAGACATACCCATGATGTCCAGGAAGTCTTCGGCCAGGACAGCGGGTCCTCGGTCGATGGGTTTACCCGACCCGTTAAACACACGACCTGCAAACACAAAAACACGCCTCAGCACACATCTGAGGACCTCATCACACATTCAACAGCGGACGGGGATTCATGAGGACCTTTGTGAACCTCATTCTGTCACGTGACGTACCCAGCATGTCCTCTGAGACCGGCGTCCGTAATATGTCACCTGTGAACTCGCAGCTGGTCTTCTTGGCATCGATGCCTGCAGTCCCCTCAAACACCTGCAGAAGGCAGAGCGGAGGAGGAAACAGTTCATCGGGGTCCTTCTGGAAGTGCCCACATTGTGTCAGACTGATGTGAATACCTGCACCACAGCTTTGGAGCCGGTGACTTCCAGCACCTGGCCGCTCCTCCTGGTTCCATCCGGCAGCGTGAGGTGGACGATCTCGGCGTACCTTGGGAACTGTCGGTGTGAAGGGAGACCACGAGAGTTACCAACCTCCACTATACACGTGTCAGAAAACATAGCACAGTTCACCATTTATTTGAGGGAAACTACATAAACGGATTTAAACGTGGAGGACGCTCCGACTGCAGGATCTGCTGGTTTTATTGAGAGACGCTTAGTAAAGAGGACGCTGAGACAAACAGCTGAGGAGGTTTTCCTCTTACCTTAACCTGGTCCAGGATCACCAGCGGCCCATTGACTCCAGACACTGTTTTGTAGGCTGAGGAGACAAAAACAGCACAAGTCAGTACAGCGTGGGTGGAGCACAGGTGGAGCACTGCACAGCTGCAGATCTCCACATGACAGCACCGTTTCTCCAACATGTGAAATCTTCTTTTATAAGCTCAAAGTCTCCACCTGCTGGAAGTCACATGAACCACAGTCTGACGGGAGATACGAGCCTTAGAGACTCTGCAGTGTGCAGAACCTGAATATGAATAAAAAAGTTTCTGTTCAACACGAGCCTCTGAAGAGCGTTTCCCTCTCACTTTAAATCACATCACACTGAAAGAACGGGTGTAATGAGCTCGCACATGTTCACCTGTGCAGGTGAGCCTCATCGCTAACACTTTAATCCTGCTCTAAACACTCCGTTTATCGCGTCTGTGCTCCTCTCAGGTCTATGTGATGTCACAGAGAGGAGGCCCAGGATCAGACACAGGAGCATTATTCTGAACTGTGACTGTGAACTGCTGTGAAAGAGTGCAGAAACAGATATATAGGTGAGCTGTCAGGAACATTTTTAATGCTCAGCATGTAATTTACAAGCCGACAAAAGTAAGAGATTACAACGCCAGCACCTGAGAGTTTTTTTCAGCCTCCATCATCGCCTGGTTTATTCCATTAACCCTCATCCTCCTCCTCCTGCTGCGGACCTCAGTCTGCCTGATAATGATCATGATGATAATGATGGTGGTGGTGGTGGGACTCACTGAGGCGCGGCTGGGAGATGTAATCCCGTTTGACGGCCATCACATGTTCCCGGGCGGCAGCGGTGGCGGAGGTAGGAGCGGCGGCCGGGGCTCTGCTCCCGCTGACGGCCGAGGACAGCTCGCTCATCGCCCCGTTCACCATCCCTCTGAGCGCCTTCATCGCCATGTTTCCCCGCAGCGGCGTCCGAGTCGTGACAGCAGCGGCGCATGCGCACGAAACTTCAGCTGCATCAGAAAGGACGCCGAGGAATGTGTCTATGGAACCTCAGTGATGCTAAAACAACATTATTATTATTATTATTATTATTATTATTATTATTATTATTATTATTATTATTATATAACAATGTGAATGAATAAAAGAAAAGCTGATGTTTGAAAATATTACATTTAACTGAGCTTTTTGTCAATAAATTATTTTTGTAATAATATTGCACTTTTTTATCTAAACTTCTCATTAGAATAAAAACAATAATGTTATAATTAGAATACATATAAATGTATGAATTTATAAGACACGATGATAAGAGGTATATTTGGAGGAGTAATGGTGAGGCTTCCAAACCGAAGAGCACTGAAGCATGGTGTTGGTAGCATCATGCTCTGGGCTGTTTCGCAGTCAGTGGCTTGAATAATGAAGGAGGAGGACTGCCTTCAAATTCATCAACTTCACCTCAAATCAACAGCTAGATGTTTGAAACTTGGACACTAAGGGTGTCCAAATTCATAGGCTGCATCCTCCTGAGACTACATTTGTAGGCCGATTATGTTACAGCGACGTGACGAAGGCTGTCCAAATTCATAGACTCCTCCAAATGCGGCCAACAAATGCGTCCTCCTTTTCCCCAGATTTGAAGGATGGGTCGGGTGTATCCTTCCTGGCCCACCATATCCCAGAATTCACAGCACAGCCCAGCCAATTCCAGTTTCCAACAATGGTGGCAGTTACTTAGTTTTAATTTTGCTCTTATTACTTTTGGGTTACAAAATAAACTTTTAAGGCGAGAATGTAGGTGTGTAAATTTCAAATATCTGCTTGGTTTATCAAGCCATCACATATTTGCAAAAGTCCTCCGACTTTTTCTGAGACATCTGTTACCCACCCGCTCAATAGCTAGCCGGGGTGAGAACAGTGAACTCCTGTCACATTGTTTTCAGCCACCATCCCCGCGGTCTTTCGCTACTCAGGTTGAACATGATACATAAGTCACTTAGATAATTTGAAAATGTTTTTGTTTGGCTTTTTTCTGTTTTATTTGTTCGTGAGTAAATCAGTTTGGCTGAGATTATAGTTATAGTTTTCACACAGCTGAATAAATGTCAAACAGAAAACTGATTAAACAGAAGTGTGACATGATCGAGAATTTACGCCAGTGTCCTGTTATATTTTACATAGCAAGGAGCAGGCAGCTGAGTTTTTATTAAACTCTACCAAGACACAAAACTGAAGGCTAGACTATGAATTTGGGGCGATCGTGGCTCAAGAGTTGGGCGTTCGTCTTGTAATTGGAAGGTTGCCGGTTCGAGCTCCGACAGTCTCGGTCGTTGTGTCCCCTTGGCCAAGACACTTCACCCGTTTCCTACTGGTGGTGGTCGGAGGGCCCGGTGGCGCCAGTGTCCGGCAGCCTCGCCTCTGTCAGTGGGGCCGAGGGCGTCTGTGGCTACAATGTAGCTTGCCATCAGCAGTGTGTGAATGGGTGGATGACTGTGTATAGTGTAAAGCGCTTTGGGGTCCTTAGGACCAAGTAAAGCGCTATACAAATACAGAGCATTTACCATTTTTTTACCATTTGGACACCCCCACTGTGTTCCAGCAGAACAATGATCCCAAACGCACATCCGAACTGGTTTTGGATAAAGCAGGATAACATTAAGCTTCTGGAAAGTTCTTCTCAAAGCTCCGACCTCAACCCTGTGGAAAGTTTGTGGACTCTGGTTAAAAGCTAGGTCTGTGCCATGAAACTAAACAATTATCTTTGTCCTGTCTTCCTCCCCTCACTCCCAACCAGTCGGAGCTGAGCCTAATTCCCTTCCTGTTGAAAAGGGTGTTCTTTCCCACTGTCACCAAAGCGCTTGCTCATATAAAGTGCCTTCAGGTGACTGCTGCTGTGATTTCATGCTAAATATATCGATAAAACTGAATTGTGAACTTTATTTTGAAAATCCAAAATAAAGTCAAACTTGTTCTTTAAAGTCAGTAAAGATGTTGGACAATCATTCCAACCTGGAAACATAGCCACTCAAAGAAATCATTAAAAGCCCAAAATGACCCTGATGTTGATGAGTGGATGGAAACTTTGCCCTCAGAACAGCTTCAGACTGTCTCACCCTGCTTTAAAAGTTAGCCTAAACTACGTTTTGTCCAGTTTTACAGTCTTCACTCAGAATTTTAACATCATCACACAGACAGACATTTCTCCATCAGACAGATGGATTATTACGCAACAAATTATTAAATGAGTTTATTCAAAGTGGGACACAATAAATGTTTCTCACACGCTGACAGCTTTCTTCTTCACAGACAGATGCAGAGATTTCTTCTACCTGTTCAGGTGCTACAGCCACAGATGTCATGGAACTGACTGTTTATGCACATGTTTGGCCACCAGGGGGAGCTGGAGCATCAGTGATGTAACCTGATGTCTTGCCCTGTTGCTGTGGGAATCAAACCATCAACTTCAACATTTCCTGCGCTGTGTCTGCGTCTCTGAGCTCAGAACCCAGCGTATCCTCTGAACGCCTGAAACATGTCTGATGTCACTTCCTGAAAAACTGCTCTGTGGTGAACAGACCAGACGCGCAGCTGCCGTGGACTATTTTAGGTGGCGGGTGTATATGGGTCTCCTGGGGCAGGCGGTCAGAGTATGTAAGAGTGTTTCCTGTGTGTGACAGCACTGTGGTGCTGACATCGTGGGGCAGAGTCTGACTGCAAGGTGAATAATCCCAGCTAACTTCAGCCTGTTGTGTCTGAGTCTGGCTCGCACAGCCCGCTCACAGCGTGTGCTTAGGGATGACAAACGACGCGCTTAAACGTTTTTCAGTCTGACTGAAGGAAACATGAAATTGACTCGAGTCCAAATTTGAACCTTTTTAATGTTCAAATTTTGTAAAACATTAAATTTAATCGAATTAGATGAGTACTAAATGTTCAGTTTAATGTGAGCACATTTTTCTTAATGATTGATTATTTGGACAAATTCAGTTCAATTTCAATTCATTTCAATTTTATTTATTTAGCACCAAATCACAACAACAGACGCCTCAAGGCACTTTATATTGTAAGGTAGGCCCTACAATAATACATACAGACAAAAACACAACAATCATATGACCCCCTTAGAGCAAGTACTCTGGTGACGGTGGATAGAAAAAACTCCCCTTTAACAGGAAGAAACCTCCGGCAGAACCAGGCTCAGGGAGGAGCGGCCATCTGCTGTGACCCGTTGGGGTGAAAGAAGGAAGACAGGATAAAACACATGCTGTGTAAGAGAGACAGAGGTTAATAACAGATATGATTCAATGCAGAGAGGTCTGTTAATACATAGTGAGTGAGAAAGGTGACAACACCCAGTGCATCTGGGAATCCCCCAGCAGCCTACAACTATTGCAGCATAACTAAGGGAGGATTCAGGGTCACCTTATCCAGCCCTAACTATATGGTTTAGCAAAAAGTAATCTTAAAAGTAGAGATAGTGTCTGTCTCCTGAATCCAAACTAGAAGCTGGTTCCACAGAAGAGGGGCCTGAAAACTGAAGGCTCTGCCTTCCATTCTACTTTTAAATACTCTAGGAACAACAAGTAGGCCTGCAGAGCGAGAGCGAAGTGCTCTAATAGGGTGATATGGTACTACAAGGTCATTGAGATAAGATGGGGCCTGATTATTTAAGACCTTGTATGTGAGGAGCAGGATTTTGAATTCAATTCTGGATTTAACAGGAAGCCAATGAAGGGAAGCCAAAACAGGAGAAATATGCTCTCTCTTTCTAGTCCCTGTCAGTACTCTTGCTGCAGCATTTTGCTTTAACTGAAGGCTTTTCAGTGAGTTTTTTGGACATCCTGATAATAAATATTATAGTAGTCCAGTCTGGAAGTAATAAATGCATGAACTAGTTTTTCAGCGTCACTCTGAGACAGAATATTTCTAATTTTAGAGATGTTGCGCAAATGGAAGAACGCAGTCTTACATGTTTGTTTAATATGTGCGTTGAAGGACATGTCCTGGTCAAAAATGACTCCAAGGTTCCTCACAGCGTTACTGGAGGCCAAGGTAATGCCATCCAGAGTAAGAATCTGGTTAGATGCCATATTTCTAAGATTTTCAGGGCCGAGTACAATAACCTCAGTTTTATCTGAATTTAGAAGCAGAAAATTAGAGGTCATCCAGGTCTTTAAAACTTTCCTGCAGTTTAACTAATTGGTGTGTGTTATCTGGCTTCATGGATAGATAAAGTTGGGTGTCATAAGCATAGCAGTGTATGTATGTGTGCTAGACCTTCTGATGCTACTGCCTAAGGGAAGCATGTATAATGTAAACAGAATTGGTCCTAGCACCTACAGCGTGCTCTAATCATTCTAATAGAATATTATGGTCAACAGTATCGAATGCTGCACTGAGGTCTAGCGGGATAAGCACAGAGATGAGTCCACTGTCAGAGGCCATAAGAAGATCAGTTTTAACCTTTAAACTTAACCTAAAGCTGTTTCTGTGCTGTGATGAGCTCTGAAACCTGACTGACACTCTTCAAATGAGAAAGTCTGCGGGTCTCCGTGTAATCGGTTTACTGTTCCAATACTTTTAGCCCTCACTGTACTTCCATCTGTGACTTTACCAACATGTAAGAATAACCCGGAAGTGTGAGTACGCCATCTGTAATAGTATGGTGAGCACATGAGTAGAGATTTCCTCCTCTTTGTGTGTCCTTGAATTGCATCTGCAGATGATCTGTTAGCTGTTTGACAGCTACTCTTTCAAGAATTTTTGATATGAAAGGAAGGTGAGAGAATGGCCTGTAATTAGCTACAGATGGCTACAGCTACAGATGGCTTTTTAAGTAACTACAGCCAGCTTGAAGGCCTGTAGTACGTAGCCGATTATTAGAGAGAGGTTGATCATATTTAAGATTGAAGCATTAATTAATGGCAGCACTTCTTTGAGTCAAGTAATTACTGAAGTTAACTCAGAGAGATCAATTGGAGAAAAAGACTAGAGCCTCATAAATAAACATTTCAT